TGGAGAGTCCCAGATATAAACCTAGTGGGAGTTTCCCCCCACAGAGGGACAAAAGGACCCCCTAATGATCCTCTAATCGCCCGAGCCAAGGTGTGAAACTGGGTGTGGGTCCCAATCAGCCAGAGTTTCGGGTGAGTTCATTGTGACACCTGGCCCCACCTTATCATGCAAATTCCTGAGGTCAGATGGCCCAGGATGTGAGTGGGCGTTAAGGCGTCTGGGGAGGGATCTCAAAACTGGATTATAGATGGCAGAGAGTTGGTGTCGTAAACCACCGCCTCTGTTCAAAGATGGTCGCTCACAGTGGACATAGATGGCTTCTTTCACTCCTCTTTCAAACCATCTGTCCTCTCTGTCCAAAATGTGAACATTGGCATAAGAAGGACAGACGCAACAACATTGTCATCCCCTATGTAGCCGGTGTATCAGAAAAACTCAGGAGGGTTTTCCCAAGCATGACATCCCGGTGCATTTCAGACCCAGCAACACGCTCAGACAAAAACTGGTTCACCCGAAAGACAAAACTCCAAAACACAGACTTAACAATGTGGTGTATGCTGTACAGTGCACGAGGAATGCCCAGACCTCTACACTGGAGAGACCAACCAGCCACTTCACAAGCGCATGGCACAACACAGAAGAGCCACCTCCACAGGACAAGACTCAGCTGTCCATCTGCATCTTAAGGATAAAGGACACTCTTTCGAGGATGCCAATGTTCACATTTTGGACAGAGAGGACAGATGGTTTGAAAGAGGAGTGAAAGAAGCCATCTATGTCCACTGTGAGCGACCATCTTTGAACAGAGGCGGTGGTTTACGACACCAACTCTCTGCCATCTATAATCCAGTTTGAGATCCCTTCCCAGATGCCTTAGCGCCCACTCACATCCTGGGCCATCTGACCTCAGGAATTCGCATGATAAGGTGGGGCCAGGTTTCACAATGAACTCACCCGAAACTCTGGCTGATTGGGACCCACACCCAGTTTCACACCTTGGCTCAGGCGATTAGAGGATCACAGGGGGTCCTTTTGTCCCTCTGTGGGGGGATACTCCCACTAGGTTTATATCTGGGACTCTCCACCATTTGACCTTAGAACTGAAGAAGCTTCTCGGATGAGAGGTGAAACGTCTTCAAGTAACTTAAAGAAGTCCAGACGCTTTTCTTTGCAAGCTCTTTTGACTACCTGTCATTGAGTAAAGTGTGTTTGAATGCTGGATTCTGTTTTCTGGCCAAAAAAGGAGGACAAAAACCTTCACATGTTGTTTACACATGATTTTTGCACGAGTCTTAAACTATACTTTTTATTTTTATTTTATTTTTTATCAAATAAAAGTATAATCTTGCAGTAATTCAGGGTAATTATGGAAGTCAACAACTGAGGGAAGCATTTAGTTTATAAGGTCTTCTTTTCAATAGCTACATGAGCAAATGTTCAATTTTAGAGTTACTTTGATGTATTTTTTAATCTGTTTTGAAAAGCGTAGCTAGTGAATGATTTAGCCAGAGGATGTTAGAGAGACTTGAATGCTTCAAATAAATTAACACAAAAGCACAACTTTGCATAATGTGCAAATGCAGAGAGATGTACTTCCACATGCACACACAGGTGCACACGTATGCTTTCTCATTCACTAACACAGATCTGACCTATGAGTCATTCTGGCTCTCCTTCCAGACACCCTCTCTCTCTGCCTCCCTCCCTCCCTCCCTCCCTCCTCCCTAACCTGCTGATTGTCACAGATGGATGCAGCAGACAGCCGCAGTCTTAATGCTGTTTCCTGTCTCTCTCTGGCACTTAGCAACCGCTCGGCTAAGGGCGAGTTTAACCAGCAATTAAAGGAGAAATTCGTCATCGCTCACCATTACAGAGAAGGATCGGGACTGGATAAACCAAAACAAAAGCATGAACAAGACCACTGAGTGAGAAACTGGGCTAATCATATGATCAGCTTTGAATAATGTGTGAACTGATGTTTCATTAGAATTAAATCACTCTGCGGTCCGAGTGACATGGGGCTTTATGGGAATTTGAAACTGACCAGTGTGTTCCCTGAACTGTTATCCTGTGGTTAGGTTATTGCTGACTGCAAGTCTCTGAGCCCAACACAAATATATCAGCTTAGTGTGGTCCTAAATTAAAGCATGAAATCTTTTTCAAGAAAAAAATGTTGCACACAATCTCATGGCTAGCAAAGCTCACTCAGTCTGCAGATTTAAACAAAACTCTTTCTCATAAAGTCAGTTCTCAACAAAAGCTTTTCCTTCTCCTTCTCTAACAGTAACTATCCATGTCACAGCTACAAATCAGGTGCAGTCAGGTTTCAGTCCCTGAGTGCTGAAGCCCGGCATTCATAAAGTCGCCAACATGCTGCTGACTCAATGATTGCAGATTTTCAGTCCTCTGGCAAAAACATCAGCACAGAAAATCTAAGGAGCTTGGAAAGAAAAGCGTCTGGACTTCTTTAAGTTTCTTGAAGATGTTGTAAGAGCAAATGGTGGAGAG